GGGCGCGACTATTTGCAATCCATGGATTGAAAAAGAGAACCACAGTCCAAGCATCCACACGGATCGAAACCCCCTGAAAGGCAGTCCCATGAGTCTTGTCTGGCGTTGCTCATCATATTCGTACTTTGAAAGAAGCACGGTACACGGCGGTACAACCATGCAGCCGCGGAACATCGAGGGCCCGCAGCGGTCGGAGGAGGGCGGAGAGCGAACACAATGGCTCAAGCTGGGCGGCTGGACGGTGCTTGGGCTGGCCGTCTTCTGGGCGCTGTGCTTGGTGTCGTGGTGGACTGTGCGAGATATCCGGGGCGCGTGGGTTGGAGAATCGTCGAGGGCTGCTGTGATGAAAGAGAAGCTGCGGCAGAGGAGGGATTCGCCAAGTATATCGTCCGCTAAGGTGTGCCTGCATGCTTATTGCGTGTAGTTTGCCGTTGTGAACAGGCACGAAAGCGGACAGGTTGCAGCGCGGTCGAGATCACATCACGCGGCTTGCCTTGCTCGCCAAGCGCTGGCTCTAACCGACGCCATAAGAACCCCTGCTGCTGCTGCTGCTGCTATGTATGTTGTGGGTGCGCGCATCATCAGGACACGACACACATGGCTTTATGGGCGCCTCAACTCGTCAATCCAGAGATGAAAATGTGCAGCAACTTCGCCGCCCAGGACAATACATTTCCTTGTATCTCCGGATTTCACGTAAAAATGCAAGTCGGCTAGATTTCCTGCCGTCCCCTTTCAACCAGCGACCATTGGTCACCAACGTCTGGCACGTCTACTGCTGTACATGTGTACATTGATGAAGGCCCGTGGCAACATATAGGCAGCGGCAGCATCAGCATTTTGACATCAGCAGAGTCGCTTAGGTGGACCTCTCTCCACGACCCCTTTCTCCGCGCGCAACGTTGCCTGCCTCTGCTTTTGGCAGGGCCTGTGTTGGGTGCGTGTACTGCTGTCGATCAGCTAGTTTCGATAAGTTCACGTTTGGCATGATGAGGATAGTAGGTTGGACGGTGATGTGCATTCATGCATAGGACAGACATCGTCGAAGGACACGTGCAACTTTTGTGAGGCACGTGTGCAACTTTTCGCGACAACTCTGGGTGATCGTTACCCCTCCCGATGACAAAGCAATAGCTACGTAGTCTAGTTTGGTTGTGGATTCTTATCCTTCGGTGATGCCTGGGCTACAGCAGCAGCAGTGGTGCTGAACAACCAGCGCTCGCTCTTGCCTGAAACTCTCTCCAGACCGCTGTTTCCGACCTGGAAGGTTGTATGGTTTTGTTCCTCGAGTAAGGATTATAATTACATTAACGTGGCGGGGAATCACGCCTTTCCTAGGTAAATGATCGTGCTTCCAACTGCTGTACGTATTATTACTGTTAATAGGTCTGAACGCATCATGTGTTTGCTCGTTGCAGTATACAAGGTCCAGGTGAGTGCGATGGTGCATGCGCATTCTTGTCTTTTTGAGAAAAGCACGCAAGACGGAGGACGAGTAGCCACACAGACCGGGCCCAGCAGACACATAACCCAATGAAATCGCGATGCGTACGACTATAGCTACTGAAACGTCCTTTCGGAACAAATGATTTGCTGCCTTTGACGGAGCACCTTCATTTTGTACCCTTGAACCCGGCACAAAGCACGTAATCGAGATACATTCTAGACACCCTTTCGGAACAGATTTCCGGCTGCCTTTGACAGAAAACCTCCATTGTTACACCCCTGAAACCGGCAGTTAGTATCCGTAGCAGGGGAAGCGGCCGCGGGCCTGGAGATGTGGACCTCGCTGGGAGGTGGAGAGAACGTGGCTGAAGTGGGTTCCGGTTTGTTGGCGGACTTTGCGGATGTTCAACACGACATAGGCGTTTTGCAGGAGAGCCTTGCCAAGGTGGGTGGAAGGTAGAGGAGGGTTGTCGCGGGCGTGGACTCAGCTATCTACTAAGTCAGTGCTACCTGAAGACTCCTTAGCTACACCTGACGGGCTCTGTGGGTAGGTGTTCTTGATACAGGGAGCGGTCAGTGGGAGCAAAAAGGTTTGTGTTGTTGTAGCACCGCATCTCGACACCCCTTGACAGCGGCAACCAACACGCGGGGGACCCCATTTTGCATGTGGTAAGATTGTGTTCCCTTGCCACGCCGCGTGAGGCCGAACACTAGCGACGCTGCAAAGGCAGCTTTTGTAGCTCCCTTCGAACCACCACTGGTCGTCTTCTACTCAGTTTTCTTAGTTAAGCAAACATGTTGGATAAAGTAAAGAACCGGCTGAGTTGGGGGTTAGGGTGAAGGTCTGCGTACCGGTAACAAACTTTTCCCGTATTTTCTGTTTTCTGTGCGTAGGCAGTCCTCGTCACAACTAGCTGTTGCTGGTGGTGGTATATTAAGTCGTTGGTGCAAGTCGGCATCCCGCCGTCGGCCTCCTTCTCCTCGGCATCGGCTCGTAGTGGCGGGCAGCGTTCGTGCCGTGCATTTCGTTGTCGTTTGCGTGTTTGTGCCGCAGACCGGCTGAAACCTAGAACTCGCCTCGAGTGGAGCTGGGTGTGCCGTGTGGCTTGAGTCTGGCGCTTTTGTATTTGTTGTGCGTCTACACACCGGTTCAGTTGATGCCTTGAATGACCGTCTCGACACTGATCGTTGCACATTCAGAGTGGACGAACCGCCGGTATCAAGAAAATATGGGACGGCCAGATAATTTTTCTGAATCTTGCCATCTTGTGCTATAGTGTGCGTCGAAGCATGCCGACTCACAAACAGAACAACGCAACCTATGTGCGCCGTTGTTGGGACTTGCGGTCAAACCCCTCAACGACTTTAACACGGAACGCGATCAACAAACAATCCCAGCACTTGAAACGTCGTTGTTGGTGTCTTTCGACTCCACCCCCGTGTCTTTTTGCGACGCACGCACGCACGCACGCACGCACGCACGCCACCGACTCACCCCCGTCAGTCGCGATCGGTGGGCAGCGTGGTCGGGCTCGTGTCGTGGGATCTAAACAAGGCGCAGGCATTGCTCAAGGAACAGCAGGCCGTGTTGCTGGAGCAGGGCCGCCAGGTGCACGCCCTCGCCCGCGGAGTCCTCCAAGAGCACCAGGAGTACCAGAGCAGCCGCGATGGTGCCAGGGCGGACGGGGAGGGGCGGTCTAAGCGGCAAGCTGGCGAAGAGCTGGAGCTGATGAACAAGCTTACTTACGGGCTGGGGGAGGCCAACGTTCAGGTGCTGGGTCAGCAGTAGAGCGGTAACGGCACCGGTGGAAAGGAGCACAACGCGCACGACGCTAAATACTTGAAAGAGCTGCTGCTGCTACTGCTGCTGCTGCTGCTGCTGTTGCTGCTGTGTATACCACAAATAGGAGGGCACCACTGCCGAAAAGGATGGTTTTGGGAGCATCTCGAGCAGGTCGTTCCTTAGACGGGTCGTTTGGCTTTCGCCCCCTCCTAGCTGTGGAGCAATAAAGCTTTGAAAAACGTCAACACCCGTGAGCGGAGACTCGCATCCTTGCGATACAGCAGTAGTTCGTCTAGTTTTGCTACCCGCGTGTTTGTTCGAGGCACTTGGTCCTCTAGACAGCCAAAATAAGCGTCCAGAGCAGGGCACGGTGTCCCACCCTAGCGCGTGCTGTAAGACTCCGCCGCTTGTGCTTACACAAATCTGCGGGTTGGTTTGCTCGACGGAGCGCGTCTTATTCTTTCAACCTCTCTTTCAGCTTCATGACCTTGCTACGCCATGATTTTCGCGTCTCATTATCCCATTCTTGTCCATTTATTTTTTTACGAGGAAGAGCACCGTTGTTCCGTTACGACGATTTGCGCTTTTTGTGTCTTTTTTCATCGTCAGCCTCTGGTCTGCATGATGCCCCTGCCTGTCCGACCTCGCTCAGAACAACTCGACGAGAAGGGGGGGAGGTTGTTGGATGACGCAGTCTTCGTCTGCGGTGGATCTTGATTGCGAATCAGATCCTGGCTCGAGCTTGCTGGTTCTATCTTTCTTGGTTTGCTCTAACCAATCAAGTGCACGGCACTGGTCTATCGCGTCGCCACGTACATCCGTCAACTTTCCACACGCTGCGGTCTGGCCACCCATCCATTACCGAGTTGGTGTCCATCAATCCATTGAAAGCACGCTCTTGCCCTTACCCATTCCTTGAAAACTGCCATTTGTACCTGCTTGTTGATAAATAGGAGATTTTGGGGAGACTGCAAGAGTTGGAAACCGAGGTCAACGCTGCCGTGACCACGCAAGAAGCGGAGGAGATGGCCGCTCGGTACGCCGCCGCGGCGGGGGCGACGCGGGAGCAGGGAGGGGGAGGAAGGGGGGGGGGACGGTCAGCGGAGGTCAGCGACGAAGACATCGCCCGGGTGGTGGAGGTAACGATATTGAGTCTGTGCAGTTGTACTCGGTACGGCTGCGACGTTTCCGCTGCCATCCGATTTGGTCTCTGTTTCTTCTGTCCTTTACTCATTTTTTTTTTTCCTTTTTCGTTGTTGTCTTCTTTTTTTTTTTAATGCTTTGTTGTCACTGTTGGCCTGTCTTGCCCGTGGGTGCCTACCTATCTTCCTCCTAAATTTCGGTTGGGAGAAAAATGGGGGCTCTGCTGTCGAGTCCTGCATGCGCACTTGTCCGCGACTTCTGTTAATGTGATTATTTCGCCTGATCGTTCCAGCTGGATCACGGCAACAGGTCCCTGATCCATCCCGTACACTAGTTGAGATCATTTGTGGTGGAAGACCACCTGTCACTTGACTCTCCATTTCGCCCTTTGTACGCTAGGCTGCTCGTGAAAGCACAGCAGTACCAGGTAGCAGGCGAGCGACAACAACGGGGTGTGCGGTGCAATCAGGCGATCAGACGTTGCACCGAGGGGGGGGGGGTCCCAACCGACGGCCCCCGAATTTCTCCAAGGTTTTGCGTTTGGCAGGAGATCGCCCCGACTGTCGACTTACAGTACCCAAGGCCACTGCGACTCTTTTCGTGTGCTGTGACCTGGCAAGCGACTGAGCTCTTCGTTCGATGAAAAACAACCCCCGTCTCTCCCCCTTTCAACTTCCCTGGCAACGATTCGTCCCGTTCCTAGTCTGCGGAAGTTTGTTTCGTCGTCATGACGTCAGCCTTGCTCTTCATCCCCTTCTTAATCTGCAGGAAGTTTTTCTCGTCGTATGCATAGTCAGGTCAGCCTTGCGCTTTCTGCGCCCCCGCCGGTTGGTTGACAAAACGTCACTCTCACGCTGTCTGTTCTTGGCCGTTTTTTTTGCGCAGGAGGTGGTGCTTTCCGTGGACACGCCTTCCTCCCCGGATTCCTGCATCACGGTTGATCTCGCTCGGAACCTGACCAGGGCTGAGCTGGAGAGGTAATGGAAAGGGGGGAAACGCGGATGGGAATGGAGACCAAGCGTCGTGTCGGGGTTTATTGCCCCTTTCAAGTTTGGCCTATCATAGATGTTTTACTAATACTGTTACTTGTACATGCTGGTTCTGTTGCATGTTTTACTATTACTGTTATTTGACTGTTATTTGTACATGCTGTTACTGTTGCATGTATTACTATTACTATTACTATTACTATCATTACTTCGACACACCAACCTGATTGGCTTGATTGGGCCGAATATCCCGCGCGTCACGCGAAAGCACGCCGCGATTCATCCGAACAAAATTAAACCATCGAAAATTTCGTTGAGGATTGGCACACTCGGCGAGCAAGCTGCCTTTGGAAGTATTACAGTCATATTCCGCGGTAGGATTGTTTACCGTCGTTGGCCGTTCTTGTCATGGCGAAAATTGTCCCGCCACCAAAGAACCAGAATTGTCAGGCGTTCATGAATTTTATTTGTTCCCTCTCCAGTCGCGTTCTTGTGCACCTGCGAACCCTACACGGATACGTTACTCCTGACGGCAGGAAATTACGTACAGCAGAACTCAAACGAGGTGTCAGATGCGGATTGATTGTCCTCTTATGTTATATTTTGGCATCCCTCATGCGAACGTCCATCTTAAGACTTGCCGCCGCAAGTTGCGCTTCATGCACACAACCAATTTCGAGCAACCCGACTGCTTGCTACTATGGTCACCGACCAAAAAACGGGCAAGTTCGAAGAAGCATGTACTAGCGAGAACCCTTCCCCGAAGTTTCCCACGAAGCGAGTACACACACGGATGGTGTTACATATTTTTTTTGTTTTTTTTCATGACAATGACAGGTTCGGTGCGGATCGAACTGGGATCCCTGACTACGCTATGGAACCTGCCGGCGCCCACGTGATCTCTAGGATGACCAGTGAAACCTACGAACCGGTGCGTGCGTCGGTCTGACTTTCGTTTGTTACAGTAGTTTTCGTGATAACCTTACTTTTTTTGCCTTGTAGGCAGTCTCCGTTTGTTGGGCGCGGGCGGTGGTTAGCAGAGCTGTTTTATTTTTTGTTGTGGGTGTTTGCTGGCCATGCTTTTGGTATCCTGCCCAACAGTAAGGACACCTGAACTCCAAGCACAAATTTGTGAAAGGGTGAGTGGACGTGGTAGCACGATTGTGTCGGTTGTCCCGGCTGTTGATTTCGACCTCTGCTGATTGTCGTGCGTGAAATTGTGAGGCGGGCGCCAGCAGGTGCAGTCTGTCCTCTCGCCAATGGCTCAAAGAGCCGTCCTCATTATCTCCGTTGTTTCCGGTCGCACGAAGGTGTGCCGGGCCTATTTCGCGCTTGTTGAAGGGCTGGGCTAGTGTGCGGGTCGTGAGTTCCCCGTTGTTTTCCTCCGCCCTTGGGTCGTTTTGATCGCCGTCGAATTTATCTCGCTCCACACCCTAGTTTTGCCTCTGATGAATTGGTTCGTTGGTCTCGCTTTCACCCGTGGCCATGTCTCAACCCTCTCTCCACTCAGCCAATGGGACTCCTGGAATGGTTTCGCAGCAAGAGGCGAGGGGCCTCCCTCCAAGCTGTCAGCCCTCCACCGGTGGCCATAAACCCGGAGTCGCGCCTGGGCAGATGCTGGCCCATGAAGGGTGAGACAGGCTGAAACGTTTGGGAGTGGTCGTCGCTGTTGCTGCTGCTCTGCCTCTAGCCTAAGCCGCCCTGTGAAGCTCAAGAAGCTTGACCCCTATCGGTGTGTTGGGTGTGTGTGCTCATAGTCGTGCATGCCATAGTCGTTAGACCGTTGACTTCGCATCCCTACAAAGCCGGGACGGAGCACGCCGGGTGCTCACCGGACCAGGCTCTCACATCACCAAGCGCGAAGCGCCGTGAGGTATTCGGCGAGTCGCATGAAGGGTGCGCTGCATCCTGCTAAGGGTGTTCGGCATCTTGTGCTTACTTCCTTGCGTACGNTTTAACACAACGTGGTGCGATCATCCCCCTTGCGCGGAGTGAGGCTTCTCGACCCCGCACAACATGATCTACTCGACCATCATTATGGTTACGGCCAAAAAAAGAAAACGGAGGTGAAAAAAGAAAACGGTAACCTGGTGGCCGAGTTGACGAAGTGAATTGGCTTGTTTTACAACGTCGTTGCCAAGCGATGAAAACCCAACCCCGATGGCAAACACCGAGGGGGGGGCGTACTCTTATGTTTTGCATGCCTTAGCGGTTAGACCATTGACCGCGCGTCCTCGAGAGGACGGAGCATTGTTCCCACAGGACCCATCACCGATGGCCAATCGTTCCAAACACGGAGGGGGTCTTGTTTTACAACGTCGTTGCCAAGCGACGACAACCCAACCCCGATGGCAAACACCGGGGGGGGGGTACGCGCAATCATGCACGCCACAGCAGCAGTTGGTGTGGCCATCAAGTTGGACTGGGGGGATCTTGTACTTACGCAGAGAATTTTTGATTACATTTTGTGGAATGTTGATCGCGTCGGGTCATCGACATCCTCTATGTTTGGCGATCTGCGATGCATTGGTGTTGATGACATTTTGTGGAGTCTTGACGCTTTATTTCCTTGGCTCATCGACACCCTCAATGGTTCATGCTCAGCGATGCGTGCATGCATATCTCCGACGTTATTATTCCAGGTTCCGACGGAAGGCTGACAGTGAAGCTGGCTCGGACGATCAAGGTGGAGTCGATATCGCTCGAGCACGCCCCGCGGGAGGTGCTCTTGAACAGGGGCGTTTCTGCACCGAAGGATTTCACCGTCGTCGGTGAGAGGGAAAACGGCTTGCATGCGCAGCCTCCATTAAGTCACCACTTCCCCTCTATTTACGCATGAAGCAGCGAGCGCCAGCGGCGAAAGCAACATGACTAGAAGCAAAATTGAAGTTCAGGAGTGGGCAGAGGGGCCAGCGGTGGGTTTTCGTTTCAGGGACTGGGGTGAACTATTATAGCTTCAATCGGGCATGCCAAAGCTTTTGATTTCCGACCAGTGGTGCGGGGGGGTAGCCGTACCGGACTGCGCAAACAACTGATGGCCCACAGAGGTTTAATGTTGCTCTGTTTGAGGCGCCGGGGTTCCCAAGGTCGCACAGAGGGTCTTCCGGGTTATAGAGTACTGTAGGTTCGTCGTCGCATCAGAAACCCAAACTCCTGGGCCAAAAAAACAGTAGAAAATATTTTAAAGCAAATGAAGCGTCAAAATATTTAGAAAATAGAAAACATTTTGAAATTGATAAAAAAGCAAAAAAGATAAGTTTAACAAAAACTGAACTGAACCAATAATGTTGTGTTTTTTACGTTAAAAATACGTTTTACGAAATCATTGAATTTTCATAGTCGCATTTGGAACTTGAGAGTCTCGTGCTATGCCCGATGAACATATGTCTTTGGTGAGATCGGGGTGGGGCGGTTCCGCGGCCGAGACAGACCTACCTTTTCGGGAAAGTCTCTCCCTGTCGAACGTGAACGATGACCCAAGTTTCGCGTTGTCCCTCTTGGCCTGGACGGTCCACATCGATCCTTGTCTGTCCACATCGATCCTTGTCTGTGGAACGTGCACGCGATGTCTTCCTGTACGGGGTTATTTTTGTTTCAGGTTATCCCAAGGGCCGGGTGGTAAGGGATGATGACCCCGGGGACGTTCTTGTCAGCGGAGGGGAGTATCGCTTGGAGGGGGACGTCATCCAGTTCTTCCAAGTCGCCGAGGAGTATCGACAGTGAGTGTTAGGGGGTCTTTCAGACGTCTTGGCCCACTGTCAAGGTTGGAAGAAGCTCGTGTTGTGTGCGGCAGAGGCGTGTGCTCATCTGTTGTGCTCGCTCGATCCAGAGCGACGCTCGATTCCAGTTTTTTCCACCCTCGTTTACCGGCTAGATTGGCGGTGTTCCGCTTGTTGGTGGACCGAGAGAGGGCAGTATGTGTGGGCGTGTTTTATCATTAGCATGGACCGCGCTAACCGGCTGGCCAATGGAAAGATGTCAGTCTCAGTGCAGTTGAGAACAGAAATGCTTCTAGAGGCCATGATCTGGGACCCTGTGAGGGTGTGTGTGTCTTTCTTGCATGGAAAAGGGAACAAACGTATCTTTCATCATTTACTTTTTGAACTTGGACCTGAGGCTCCCACCCATACGCCGTATGCTAACTGCTTCCGTAGATCATAGCTTTGCGTGATCGCGTGCAGGCCGACATCGTCAGCCACTCGGCAAGCACCCCGGGAGTACATAGTCATGCCCAATGCCCAACAACAAGCGCCAAACAAGCTCACTTAGACATCGCCCTGCGCAGCGGCAGAAGTTTGGTTCTATTTCTATCATTCCCACTGCGACCCGGCCCGAATGGCTTCAGTTTCGTTCTAACTAAGCCTAACTCTTGACCGACAATGAGATGTGCGGAATCTTCGTACCATATTTTTTTTTCGTTTTCGACCGGTCGACGAACATCGTCCTCTCCTCGCTCAAATCCCTTGCCTTGGGCCCCGCGCCCGTCGAACGCGCGTCTTGGCAGGGTGGAGTACGACGTCATCGCTTTGGTGGTGGACAGCAACCACGGCGAGGGTGCCTATACCTGCATCTACCGGCTCCGAGTCCACGGAACCCCTTCCCCTTGACACTTGACACTTCGGGGTTTCGTTGTATCTAATATTACGCCAAAGAGTCGGCCCCGCCAGGAGTGTCTGTGCCAGTGTCAGTGTTTTCCCCACGCACCCCTTCCTGCTGCTGCTGTTTACATCGGTGTACGGGCTTTTGGATTGAACAATTCACGGGCTGTCTGATATCGGGTTCTGAGTAGCGTCGGTTAGGAAATCATTCACCGCTGGCATATATTCCGGTTCGGCGTGCTACTCCGGTAGGCTTTTGTGCTAGTGTCGAGGTTGTAGGGTTATTGTGTACTCATGTTTGCTCGTTTCCGCCTGTAAGCGCTTGCGGGAGGGAGCAGAAATAACGAAGCACCGTGAATTGGCCCCGTGGGCTCAGGGTGATCATCAGGAACGAGTTGATGACAAGGTCGGAGTTCATCCACTTCAATATTTTTTGTTTTTCGCGTTTTGTTCTTGGCTGAAAGTGCGCGGGGTCGGAGAGAGCTGGGTTCAAGAATACTGTCATATTGTTCCCGTTTTTTTCTGTCCTTAAAGAGCGGGGTCGAGGGTTGGGGGTTTTCGTCGAAGTTCAATTTCAATACAAAAATACTTCCGATACCACATGTTCTTTTTTTTTTTGGTCACCCATTATTGGACTCTGTCGTCTGTCGTCTGCCCCTCTGGGCCCTATCCTCCACTTCTACCAGCTAGACGACCCATCCGGGGCCACATAGGAGGGGGGGGTTGGACCCCCTCCTGCGGTTCCTGTCTGAGACATTTTTATCGTGAGGAGGGTGCAGCAATCCCTTCCCTCGCGACTTATGAAGTCGATCAAGTTTACTGACAACGAGCTTTGCAGCGCGTCGCTTCCAACGGAGACCAGGATTTAAAAAGCGAGAAAAACTCACTTTGTCGGGACTCGACCCATTAGCTGGCCCTTAGCCGGCTGCGAGGATACCCACTAGACCACCGGGGCGACCGGTCACCTACCTACTGCTGAATGCGAGCCTGGGGACGTGATCACCTCACCTCGCCGCGTACAGCGAGAAAACAGGCCCCCGGAGATGATGATGGGATTTGGCTGTCATAATCCGGCTGTAACAGCGGCTATTTCGCCCCATGTCACGTTTGCTCTGTTTCTTCTGTGTGTACCACGACGCGCGTGTAGTGCGGTCTCGCTACTCGACCATCGTGCCGTTGCTGTCAATTGCGGGCGGCGCCAGCCATAAATCCGGTGTGGTTTGTCCGGAGAATATCATGGTGTCATTCATCGGTTCAACCGCTTCCATGGCGCGGAATTTGCAGGTTGCTGGCGCGTTGAAGCATTGTTGGCTTTGGCGCGTCCCGTGTCTTGAAGCTTCCCCAGAACATCTCTTGCTGGCTTGCGTTGTCGAAGTATTGTATGCGTTTTGCAAGGCAACATGCCTACCTCTCAGCTGACTAGAAATGGCGTTGCCAGCATGCAGGCCCAGCTGGCCCTGGCAATGAACGCTATCCTTGGCTGTTGTTCATAGTCCGTCCGAGATGTCGAAACAACAGATCACCTTGTTTCCTTCCCGTTGATGCGCTTCAACTTATGGCAAAAGCAACATTAATCTAGTTCGAAGGGCTGTACATAGCTACCGGCGGCCGTCGAGCCTGAACAACAGCTACAAAATATAATGCTCTGCGCCCTTGCGAACGCGAAGGACCCCCCCATGGTAGCGTACTTTACGCGTTTAACGTCCTGAAGACGACGAGCACTGAAAACCTGTAAGACACAAGCTTTTAGCACCCTGAAGACGAAAGCATTTCACGCCCTGAAGACAAAATTATGTTGTGTCGGCGTGTCCACGAAAACCGCCCCCCTCCCTTCCCGGGAAAAAACGAAGTCACCCCCCCAACAAAAACATCATGACTTCAATCGCGCAAGCCCTCTCCTTCCTGCATTCCTTTCACGGGGTTAAAGCAAAGGAGGGCTAGAAACAAGCAACATTTCTACGTGCCTAGGGCTGGTAACCGGGCTGCTAGACTGTCCTATGATGAGCGCATAAGTGTAGCACAGCCATCGTCCATCCCCCCTCCCTCCCACATTCATTTTTGCGTGAGTCTCGACGTCGCGAAACATGTTGATACAGCATGATATGCACATACATGACAATTGGTATAAGCGTGAATGGCACAGAAATACCATACTCGAAGTACAAGATATATGCAGACAAAGCGAGAATGCCACCAAACTACAGTACATGTACAACGTAACCAGACAATATCGAGAATGGCACTGAAATACGATACACCGGGTATTGACAGTATGATGTGAACACGTTGCAGAGTCACGAAAGGAGCGACCAACGGCAAAACGAAATTAATCTGTGCCGGGGTCTCGTTATTTATTGACGACGCGATATTTATTGTAGTACCACCCGTTTCGCGTTCAAAATCGAGGGCAAACACCGCAGGAGGAGAGAGAGGTGGAGAAAAACTTTCTAGTGTCTGCCAAGGGCCAACCGACCTCAAGAAGGGTCACGACACCTCGTCCCGCTATCGCATGGTACACGAACAGACAGGGAGAGATGACCACACACACACCGGACGAACTCGAAAAGTATTTTCCCGAGGCATCACACACACAAACCGACTCGAATGCACTGCCCGAGGAACCTCCAACCTGCGCCGTTTTTTGCTACGGGATATCGCTGGGGCGCCTGCTTGTGCCGCCTCTGGCCTCATTTCTTCTCCACGGCTTCGCATCACCGCTGTCTATGCCACTTTTCGTTGTGGGACTGATTATATTCAGAAAGAAGCAGCGTTGCGACCTGATCTAAACGTGCACCAGGTATTCACGTTTTCTAGGCCAGGTGTGTTGTTGGAGGTATTTGCTCCCTGCCGACCGACCGATGTATCTCTGTCGACGTGTGTGTGTGTTTTCCCGACCACCACGCCGTGAAACAGTGCTTATCTAAATGTATTGTACCCAACCAATGCTAAATGTTTGGGGGACGGCCACGGACTGATATCTACCCGAGACACCGTCTGCGAGAAAAGAAACGAAGATAAGATGTGCGAGGCCCCCTCAGGGTAAGCGGTGAAAAATGAACAGCTGGTTACCAGCCGGCATTGAGCTCAGCCACACACACCGGGGAAGAAGGTGGTCCTTTGAGATCACGCGCAGAAGTCGATCGAACGTCTGCCCCGACCGTTCTTCCTCCGTGTCGAGCTGCCCTAGGCCCGTTGTTGGGGTGCGAGACAGCAGTTCATGTAGCATTCGGTCTCCTTTTTTGTCCACTCGCTCTCGTAGTACTCTCATTGGCCCCTTTCGGACACCCAAAAGATTGCCTGGTGCAAATCTCCGCCGCATTTGCTGTTCGTGTCGGGGCTCCTACACGGCTGTGGGGGAAAAAAATGGGTCGTTTAAACAGGACGGAAGCACGTTCGGAGGTAAATGCAACCTGACTAAACGCGTACGCTCACTTCCCACGTGGTGCCTTCTGCATCCATACGTGAGCGACAGAGTCTCACGGAGTGTCACAACAAAGAATGACATGTTATGTTGAGAATGGATCTGTGTATCAAAAGCGAAAACATGGGGCGGCCGCAAGGTACAAGTATCGGAAAGAAAAGAGGAACGAAGAACAAACAAGAGTCTCAAGACTACGCGATGAGACTTCTAACCGTAGAACATAGGCTGTCGTCCGCCCGGCGGCTCTCGTCTGGCACACTGTTTCCGCACGAACATATGAATCCATACTTGAGAGCGAAGAACGGGTAGTCCATCTCGCCGCAGTGCTTGTCGCACGCCTGAGACAGCCATCCGGGGAGAGACGAGAGGGGAGTCAGCATTGTCTTGGGCAAGAGGAGTACGTATACACTGTACATTGTACTACATGAAGTGCGATCACCTACATACGTTCCCCAAACTCACACCCGCGTTGAACGAGCGGAGCAAATCATGCTGCCACCGATTACCCAGGTTGCAACGTTCGTGTCTGTTAATGCCAGCAATTCGATTTGGATCTTTACGAACAGTTTAAGCTCATGCGGTGGCGGTACAGTGTATGGTTTGGTCCGCTCCGTTAAGTGAGTGTGGCGTTGGAGGCGATTACGGTAGGAAAAGACATTCCCTGTCCAAACACGGTCACCTCTCTTCCCCCCATCCCCATCGAGTGACCCACCTCTGGACTGGCGCTCGTGTAGAGAGCGATCTCTTCGCGACCCATTCCCAGATCACGACGAACGTTGAGGTAGCATCCTTCGTAGTCGACAGGACTGACAACAACAACAACAACACACCCAAAACGCCAGCGGCTGAAAAAGACATGTCGCGGTGTCTGTACTCGAGTTCGGTTCCCACCGAGCCGTTTGGTTCAACGAGAAGGCAAACTCACGGCCTCATGGGTGAATAAGGTGCATCGAAGCGAGTTATAAGCGCATTTGAAGCGAGATGACGTCGAGCGTCAATCACGATCGAGGATCTTCACCGGCCTCACAATCGATGCGCGTCTTAGAGCACGTGCTGGAAGCAAAGGCATGGACTCGAATCGGAAGCCAGGTAGATCAGGCAGAGAGAACAACTTCCTCACCTGGGAGCAGGGACGTGAACATCCATGTCGCTGCTGAGGTGTTTGATCTTGAAGACCTCGATCGCATTGGACCCTCCGCAAGTTTTCGTGCCGTCCCCGGCGCATTTCGTGGAGCACATGGACGGGTCCAGCTCGCCATGGCGTTTGTATTTGCTGCCATTCCTGCAAAAGCATTGCTGTCCGTTTTCCACACCTTACGAGGCAATCGCATGGAGAGAGTCGCTAATATTGTTACTTATCATCACCCACGGGTAAACGGCAACTCGAACAGTTCCGGGCTGATTCCTACAGACCGTCAACGACGAGAGGAGTCTGTCATGGCATTGCCACATTCCCTTGTCGCGGCCGCCCTTGGCTTTCCCATGCCTTGCCACGAACTCTATGCCAACCGTTAACCCACTGCTAGTTTCCGGCTACCCGCTTCCTATCACGTACAACGTGCCGATGTCTCGTCTCACCAAAGAACTTGTAGTTCTTGGTGTGGTTGTGACAGTAGGCCATGCAGTTGTCGCGGGTCATTCCGATCGTCTCTCCCTCGATCGCCGGCATGGAAGTGCCGGCATGCATCACCCTGGCTCGAGAAAGTACGGGGAAGGCACGATTTACATCTTCTTGTTTGTGCCCGTTAGGCCTGTCGATTGTTTCTGACGACCTTGAGGGAAGCCCACAAGGCGCCCGTACAAGAGCGCCGCGGGCGGCTTCGCAAGGACACGATTTGGCGGACCAATTTGGCTGCCTGATCTCACCGCCGTGCTATTACCAATTTTTGTGTCTTTCAACTCCGCACCTGTCGTCAACCTTATCCTGGAAGCATCCTTTCCACTTCATCCATTTGTCCGTAAGGGCCTCCGGGTAGATGGACGTCGTTACTGCAGGCATGTTGAACGTTGGAGATCGGTTCGGTGGCGGTAGAGTTCGATCTTTGTCGATAGTGCCTACAGACGAACACATCACAAGGGAAAACAAACAGCTTTCTTTGTAACATGGGGTGCTCAAATGCGCCCGAGGATTGTCTGACGTGCCATCGATTTAACCTTTGACTCTATATAGCCAAAGTGTACGCTAAATTTCGGCCGATCGGCGGGTTGCCTCTCTCTACGTTTTCCGGCAAGCCTAACGGGTAGCCCGAGTGCCGAGGAATTAAGCACAGAGTAGAGATGTCGGTGAGCGATCTACTGAATGAAGATGATGTGGGTGTGAGTAGCTAGTTGCTGTCACGGAGCTCCACGCTCGGGAAACTCGATGATCCAATCGGCTGCGAAGCCAACTGAGGAGGGCTAGGGTATAGATACCCGAAGGTGACCAGAATCAGTTGCGGAACCCCCAATGCTCCGCACCACAACAACACGTGATTGCTTGTCACGGCCCAAAGTGAACGAACCCAAACGAAGCCAAAAGACTGTGAAAGAAACCGCTTGTGAGCAACTGAGACGTTCAGTCCATGCAATGCTACAGTGTAATACCAGCGAAGGAATCCTAGTTGTTGTGGAATTGCCCGCTTCTTGGATCAGTGAACCTAGATGTTCGCGCTATCGCGCCCGAATGGGTTCTTGACCCCTTCCAGACGAGTGCACCCCACAATCTAGTTGAGCCCTCGCCGGTCGAATTCAGGCTACATCATCGTGCAGGCGTAACCGCATAGCTGGAATACCCCTGTTACATTGTCGTGCCCTCTCACTGACAATTGTCCGGCTGAACAGGAGATGGTTCAGACGACTCTGGAAACGCTTCCCTGATTTCGCAAACCTAACCGACTGACGATACAGACTGTGGTCGTACGACCAGTCAAAAGTGACATTTCATGAGCAGGAATGTGGCCTGGTTCCGGCCATTCGTTGTCGAAGGGAAACCTACCAGCGTTGGGGTTATCGAACATACATGTGTTTGTGGCTCATCCAGTCTCTCTATCTCCGTTGATTTTTGCATGCCTACAAACCACGGTCTTCATTGGGCATGCCGACCAACCACGGTCTTCGTTGGGCATGCCGACCACCCTGCCGCATAGCGGGCAACACCATCATCTCTGTTCAAGCCCACAACTGTTTGATCCTGCCAAAGTAGCGTTGCGTGTGGCTTCCTTCACGCGAGTCTCAAAACGACAAGGAAACAACATAACCTTTGTTACCTGGCTCAGGTGTAGGGGTTGTACTCTCACGGAAGTTGACGACCGTTGACTGCTCGCGGGTACAGAAGGGTTGATGGGGGATAGAGAGGGAGAATAAGGATGTTTTTGTAGGGGTGAGATAAGACTAGATATACCAGAGAGGAAAGTAGGCCTTTGTGTCTGCGAACGCAAGCGCCAGCCTGGTGGCGCGTTTTCTGGTGTGACTGGGTCGGATCTTGATTCAGGATAGAGTGACTTTGCATCTTGCGTCGCGATTCGGGACATTACGTGTGAAACAACAGCAAGCAGTAGTTCAATTCACAAATCTTTCCGAACACTTCGATGTACCCAGCCATGTGAAGAACGCAAGACAAACCTGAAACAAACTCCGGTTGTAAAGCGCGCGGAGATCAAGGTTGCAACTGAAAACGCACCCTGCGTAAGTTGAGTACAAAATGACACCCCCCCTCCTACGTACAATTCCCACACCACGGCGGTGGAAGCCGTACTTGAACATTCTCGATAAAGTCGGCGTTCTCATCCATTCCACTGCAGCTCGTGATTCGCTTTTCATTCATGAATTTCCGACTAGCCATTCAACACATTGAGTTTCAATCGTGAGCGATAGGCGTTATATTGATAAGTATGTTCTTCTCGGATCTTGGGGGTATCTCAACACTTCGTTCTCTCCAAGGTGGAACGGTAGCTTCTCGTTTGTTTCAGTTCATCACTTGCTCCAAGGGAGTTCCAGTCTGTGACCTGTGACCATCAAGCCTCGTGTCATTGATCGGATGGTACGGGGACACGAAGGATGTACGTAGGAAGCTGCGTAGAACTCGTATCGCTGTTCGCTTTGACGGCCGAGGCAGCAGAACAACCACGACGACGACGAGAAACTATCAACACTCAACAGACAAGGCAAGCTTCGTACCATGGCTTCGTTCAAGACACGGGCGTTGTTTGCGTTTTCCGTCCCTTGGCGCTGGTTGGCGTAGGTGAGGTCGGGGTTGGAGAAGACGTTTACCCGTGGAGTTGAAGGGCAACCCGAGGAGTATGCCATGATTGTGCGAAACCTTCAAAACAGAGCACGGTAACGGCAAGCCTGTGTTGCGGTCGACCCGAATTGACTTTCAAGAGAGAGGTGCGCGTGGGATTCCGCGTGAATTTCGTTTACTCGCCCAAGACTTGTGTTACTTGGTCCACCTAATACTACCTGGTGAATACTCGACGTGACGCGGGAGACAGGAACGTGCGTCACGCAGCTTTGCCAGCACCCCTACGTGACCTCCACGGTTTTCACCCTTCCGTCAGGCCGTGAGTTGTTGCACTGGCCTACAATACTCTAGGCGGCACGGGCTACTGGAAGTGGTAATCTGGCCGCCCGACAACAACGACTAGCCCGTTCATCGTTGTCAGGTAGAGAGACGGACTCTCTGAACACTCGGCACAGGATTTGGAACATGAAGAGCACTTACTTCGTGCCTACGTCGCAGTTGCGGTACGCGTAGTTGTAGGCATCCACGCCCCCGCTCCCCCCCACGTTCTCCTTGTTGTGGTTGGCTCCGAAGTTGTGCCCGAGCTCGTGAATGTGCGAGAAGTTGGACAGGCAGTTGGTGTGGACCACCGAGTAGCCGTACTGAGCGAAGCCGGAAGAGGGTGTGCCCATGGTAAACCTGTGCGTACGCGCGGGATACAGGGCAAAAAAACTGGAGACCTTGGACCTGGAGACACAAGACTCGTACCCGGCCATACGATGTCGAAACAACAGAAGGTTGGGCCCGCCGAACCAGGCTCAGCGAATGGCAAGAAAAGTGACCTACCCGACACCGCAGGTGTTGAGGTAGTAACCGATCAGCTGGACGAGGTCAGCGCCGTATTCGTCGCGCAGCTTGTGCACGCCCTCGTTCTTCTGGAGGGCGCGCACGTCGTCGACGATGCTGTCGCTTTCGTCGAAAGGAGCCTGTTCCCTCGTGCCGAGCAAGGAGTAGAAACGCGGGAGAGGGGCATGGTGGGGAGTCCGTCGCGGGATTGTTGATGATGCGTCCACCAACGATAGCTGTGGATGCTTTTGAATGCTGTGGCCGGGGTCAAAGATGGGCTCAGTGTTTTGAACCCACAAACAAACCGTGATAGAGAGAATACTGACACCAACAACGGGGTGAAGGAGATGCGAGTGGGGTGGGTCCAGGCGTTATCTGTTTGGTTCAGGCACCGTCTTCCATGGCATCAGTTGGACGAAATGGTCGCGACACTAGGCTTCATTCCCAGCAAGATTGGCCCGCTAATAATCGCTGAACCCTATACCGCCGCCGTCATGTCCGCCTAGTTGACAGCCTCCATTGTGGCCGCCACGGCCCTGGACCAACAGTCAAGCAAATGAAACATTAATCGAAGTCCTATTCCATCACACCATAGCTGTGAGTGGACAGACAGTTAATATCTCGAATTGATTTTCTTTTCTTGCTTTGGACCGTCAAGCACGTCAAACCTTTCGTAACGAGTATGCGTACATCCAGACAGTACCTGTTCCATGTGCACGATCCTCACGGAGAAGTTGACCCCAGACGCCGACAGAGCGTTGTTCGCCCCTTGGTAGGCCGTGGCTATGTCGCTCTCCATCTGTGCAATACTTCGGCCAGCTCCGTCTACGGAGTTCGACTCCAGCATGGCTTTTTCCGTGTACAGCACCAACACGTCGATCACGGTCTGGTTTTCGTTTCGCACAGGATGAGGGGAGACAACGATTACAGAACGGGCCCGGAGATAGAAAACGCCAAATTTGCGTCGAGGCTCCGATTCTTATTTCATCGCCACCACTGTCGAGCACAGGTTGTTATAGTAGAGTTTTGTCGAGGATCCACCGCTGAGGTAGCTGTGTTTCTGAACCCTGTTTTCATGCCTTCCGTGAAATTTGAGCTTCTATTGGTTAGCAAAATGTTTTTGGCTGCGGGCCCATACCGTCGGCGCTCTTCGGGCTCGGGGTGTGTGTGACGGAAGCCATGAAATGCTATTGTTGTCGTGCAGGAGCGAGGAAGTGGTACCGGGCGATAGACTCTTTCAGTGATCAACAATTCGGTAGTCCAGTCCACGCTCGACACAAAAGAGACAAATCAACGCGAACGGGCGAGCTGACGCCGTGGATGTGTAAGGTGAACACTAAGTCTCTTGAGTAAAAAAACAGACTGTAGTCGAAGAACAGCAGCAGCTCCCTACGCCTCATGCCGGGCACACACACCCTCCCCTTCCTTGGTCTGACCTCACTCGAAAGCACTCGGCCGCCAGGCATGACAACGTTGTCCTCGTTCAGGCGGCGAAGTCCACGTTCGTGGAATGCCTCTTGGCCTTCCGGAGAAGCTGACCGGTATTCCTTTGGAATGGAAGGGTAGTTCCAAGCAGAAGGCAATGGGGGGCGGAGATGTGAGACCGAACTTGCCAAATCAATAATCTTATTTGCCTATCGACATTTTCGTCCCTGAAGGATGGGGTGGAGCACGGGTTTTCACCGACTGGGAAGGCTTTTTGATCACCCATCGGCATCTTACAGAGGTCGTTCTTTGCCTAAGCTGTTCTACGCTGTTCTTTTGTGCGCCGCACCTGGAGTAGGCGGATGTCGCAATCCTTGGCGTCGATGTCCGGGTCTTCCAGCCTTGCCCTCTCGATTCCCCTTTCCGCCTCCTTGGCGAGGAGCCGTCGAGGAGTCAAGATTTCCAAACCGTCGTCGAGAGCATACCGTTGGGCCCCTTCTCGCAGGTTGGTTTGCTCACCGACGCTGTCGGCGATCTGGAGGCGTCGCCCGATGTCATCCTCGACATCAATTTCGTCTATGGAATTGTAGTGGATCTGGTGATTTCAAGCACGGGTGGGTGTGGGTTCGAGTAACAGCACAAACTGGGCAAAAGATTCTCCCATAAGGTATTCGACATGTGTTTCTTGAAACCTCATGGCAGAGAGCAAACAAGAAACCTACGATAGGATACGGTAGGGTTGTTGGCGTGGCTTGAGAATCGTGGGGTGCTGTGGCCAGTGATGTTCTTTCGCGAGCAATAGAAACAAACGAGTCCTGCTTCTTGTACACACCCTCGTCATGACGGCTCAAGACTGCGGCCGCCCCGGGCCATGCTACAAGCGTGGAGGCACTTTCTCCGGGTATGCTCCAGAAAGTTCGACTCCTTGGTCAACACCAAATACCGTTCGACGCCCTCTTTGAGAGCTTGCCAGATACTGCTATCCTGCAGCACTCACGGTTGCGAGTAAGAAGTTTTCCCCGTTGCTGGGGTTTGGGAGAGAGACCACCGTGTCTACACCCCCGTCTTTGGCTGGAGATATCATCTGCACCACGAAGTTCTGCAGCGGTGACATCGTGCGAAACCATGGTCGGGGCAGCCGGGTGGATGTTCTGAGGAGGAGGCGTGTTTCAACTTTTGCTGTGCACATGCGTGTATTGCACACGCCCTCAACAATGCACTTGTTCAACATCATGTAGATTGTCATCCGCTGTTTAATCGTTGCGGGAGGGGGAGCAAGTCGTGTGTGCAAAGTGCTCAGCAGTAGCCTCGTCACATGACCCAGGAACAACGATGACCATGCACCCTCTTTACCTGGGTGGAGCAGTCAGCAGTCCACGTCATGGAGATCGACCGAGGCAGACCGTCGAAATCTTCGCTTTCCCTCACGGTTCCTGTCCAGATCTACAGCGGTACGTCCACATGAGCACAGCAAGTCGAGCGATTCGAAAGTGGTCACGTGTGTTCTCTGCTGTTGGCTTACATTCCCAATGCAAGACTGATGTGTGCAATTGCCAGGGCTAGGAGCGAGCTATTACATGTATGTTGGCGAAAGGAGGAGTGCGAGTTTAAGGGATCCCGCACGTCACACGTGTCCCTTTGGCCAACTTTGGAACGCCTGTCTCTCTGTTCTCCACACACTTACGAAACGAGGTTCCCCGTCGGAAAATGCAGTCCCGCTCACTGTTGTAAACGACACGAGGTCTGCTGTCACCGCCTGCGTAGTCGTGATCGAAATAACGCGTTGTGCGGGGTACCCGGAGGCAAGGTGTTGGGAAGGGTCGAGGGACGACGTGTAGTCATTGCTAGAAGTTCTCACACCGTACACCACAACCTCCGCTTCGACGTGGCTAACCTAACGCACGCGGAAAGCCTAACCACGAGAAAAGTAGACTATTCTTCACCCCTCCACATGCTCGTCTGCTTTAGACTGTCAAACGGAGTTTGTGGTCTCTTCATGCCACGCGATGACTCCCGCCCGCTGTCCCTCTGAACGAAAGACGTCTACACCGAAATTTTATGTTGAATACGTATATCACATCCGAAAAATGTGTTTGGGATGATACCCGTTGACCCGTGTGCGTGCATGAAAACAACGAGTGAATACGAACATGTCAGGGAGGGAAAATGAATTATTTTAACGTGTGACTCATTGGCCGATTGAAAAGTGGGTCGTGTATGTGCGTCATTGTTCTCGCGTCTTCCTGAACATCAACGTAGGAAACAGATGCAACACGAACCTGACCGGCTCCTATCGAAAACTCAAGCGCCTTCGCCTCCTTGGCATCTTCGAGAGTCTCGAACATGAGGTCTGCAACCTCGACATTGTCCGCTTGAAACGTAATGACAGTAACAGAGTAGTCCGGCAGTAACGGCACAGCATTAGAAGAGGTCGTACTTCTATTTCGTGGTGGCGAGGAGAAGGTCGAAAACGTTGATTCAAGACTTAGACTAAGGCTTGAACACATTGATTGGTAGACTAGACTACAGCAGCTGCAGTAGACTATACCTCGAATCGGCACTCTTTCGTTGACAACAAGTTTTTTGCTAGAAGCTTGATTTATGAACGCGTATTAACGGGATGCCTGTGACTCACGGTTAGGATTGTTTACCCCACGTGCGCATACAACTTAAAAGTGGTATGCAGATGGTCCACCTGTTGTAGACTAAACGAGGAGATCGTAGAATGCGTATAGTTTTGGCGTAAGGATACTACAGTACTTCTACTTCCCACGCGGGACCCTTACCCGAAAGCAGGTTGTCTGATTGCAGGGCGGTCTTGAGCTGGCCTTCTTGTTTGTCGTCGTGATTGAATTTCGTGAAGCCGACACTGATGATTTTGTCCTTCGAGACGGTCTCAGTGGATGTCAGCTCCTGACCCTCGACATAGAAAATGGACGCAGCACCAAACAAGCCCAACAAAACGGTCTCTACTAGGCCTCCCATTTTGACTTTGAGCGATAGTACGCACACGATGTTGGCCGTGCACACGGAGAGGGGATCAGGGACAGCAGTGAGCCGGTGAAAACTTTGTGGTCAGGGAGACAGTATGAATGTTTAACAAGTGTTCAGAGCGGGAGACAGGAAGACGATGATTACGATTGATCCCTCGCAGAATAATGCGGCGAAACAGCGAAAGTAACGGCAGAAAAAGCCAAAACAGTAGCCATCAAACTCCGTGATCGACGGAGCTCCCGAGCTCCCTCCGCAAACGCGCGAGACTGGCCAGCACCCAGCAGCCCTCCTCTGCTAGGCAAAGCAAGCAGCATGATGAACCCAGACGATGGTGATTCGGAGGAACTGGAGGCCGTCCCATCGGACATGTTTGACAGCGGCCCTTCGCCCGTGTCGGCGCTAGGCTGGGCGACAGGAGCTTTCAAGGTACCACTTATACGTGAATGATGCATGCACCTTCTGTTCCTTTGGTCTCCGGGAAACTTTTTGTGCTTTCAAGCTGTATGCACAGGTACTGACAGCTTCGTGGCTTGTTCAGCTCTCTTGCTTACACGAACGAAGGGAAAGCATAGGCATGCGAAGGGCTTGTCTCTCAGTGCAGTACTCAGCGCTGCAGTGCTCAGGACCCTGCCATGATGTCGGCTATTGTGCCACTACTTAAGACTGCAGTGCATTTGTGGTGCGGAACAACTCCGACCTGTTGTGGTCGACATACGAATGCATTTGCTCGCCGGTATATATGCATACAATTAAGGAGAAATGCACTTGTGTACCCTTCAATCAGCAACTAGAGCAATACATGCAGCAGGTGTCGCTCAACCCTCACTGTAAAGATGCAATACATACCCTTTGAGAATAAACCAAACCGGGTGCGGGGATGTTCCTAATGTGTTGCACATATTGTTCTGAGAAAGAGCACTGCTGTGTACAGCAGGGGAGATAAAGTGGCAACTACACTTCTACGGCCTATCAACAACAGCAGTGCGTTGTCCCTGCGGTTGTGATACCACTGTAGTAAACTTAACTCCTTGTATGAACGCACCCGCTCCGAACGCGCGGTAGCTTTCTTTGCGCTTGTCCTCGCCTGTGCTATATGGTTAGGGTTAGGGATAGGGTTCGGGTTTGTGTGTGTGTTGGTCCGAGGCTGATCACGGAGACTCTCCGACCTTGGGCATGAGAGTCGAGCGAACCCTGATACAACGCCCCAAGAGCTGCGACTTTTTGACCTCTTTACTGCATTGGTGAAGTGGCATTCTTTACAAACCTGTGCCCAGCGACAATGACCATCACAGACTAATAATGCTCTCGGCCGTGTTTTGTAGAGTATTGCTGAAGGGGTCCAATGCCGCCAACATTGGAGAGCGGCTTCTGTTTCGTGCATTCGCCGCAGCGAGTAAGCTATTCGCCCTGGTGTCGGTTGCACCAAAAATGTCGGTGACTTTATACGCACCCCTCACGTACATACACGACTGCACGTTCAGGGGGTTTCCTCGCGAGTAGAAGGCGTGTCGTCAAGGATGTCTCTGCGGGCGAAGGACATGCTGTCCTCGGTGGCCGACGACCACGACAACTACAACGGCTCCTCCTCCCCCCACTCCAACGGCTCTGCATCCGGCGCTGCTCGCAGCAACGGGACTCTCGGCCTCTTCAACAACGGCAGCAGCAGCAGCGCCAGCGGCATCCTCAACGGCATCGCGGACGAGGTGCCGGCGGTGCCGGCAGTAGACGAAGCCGAGGTGTGTGTTTAGTACGTTTTGACCAATATGTTAGCCACCAACAAACTACGTCCTGACAGTCCCGCCTTTGGTTGGACCGCGTTTTTTTTCTTTTCGTCTAGGCCTTTGCTCATGCGACGTTAATGGCGGCCAAAGCCTGTCGATAGCTGTGGTAATCGCTGAGGGCTTGGAACGAGGCACGATAGCATGACCACTGCTGTAGGCCCGTGACAAAGCAAATTTTCACCGGTTGTTGGGGAGCGGAAATGTCCGAAGAGGTCGCGGATGCAGACAAACTGCGCGGGGGCACAGCACTCGCTTCACCTGTAGCATTTGTCCTGCGTGTTGTACTCCAGCTGTAGAGCGTCGGCTAAACTCGATTGCCCCGAAACCAAACCTTCAACGCGCATTGGCTGCTGTCTTTGCTCTCGAGACCTGAAAAGTTGGTGCCGGTGCTTTGCATACCTGATCCCAAAATCAAACGGAAGCCCTAGACCTGTCTTAGGTGTTGCCATTGGCTGCCGTAGTAGCCGCCTTCCCGCCGGCCCGCCTCAGCCTTAATCGCGTTATCGCACCGCACGTCTACGTATCCCTCACGTGTTCGCCAACGCTTGCCGCGGGATGTTGGTTTTCGGTTTGGTTCGACTGCTGTGTGGTGGGGCATTCACCTCGGCTCGAAAGGTGTCACGATTGGTCGCGTCGATGGACTCGACCACGCAGCTGGCGGAGAAAATGGTCGCCATGAACAAGCTGTCGAACGTGCTGGGGGATGGTGCGGGGCAGGCGTCTCAGAGCGCCCTCTGCTCCGTGGCAGGTGAACCGCTGCTGATCATAGTGGTGCTGCCGCTCGATGAATACCCATAGCGACTGCTATTGGGGAGTTGGTTGTTGGTGGGCGGGAAGTGTTGTACGGGCGTCAGCTCAAGTCCAGCCGGTCCTCCATTGCGCTTGTTAGGTGGCACTCTTTTTGCGGTTGTTCCTCTGTGACAGCTGTGATCGAGAGCGAGCATCAAGTGTTCTTGTGGGCGTGTGTTGGGTGTACCACACGGGTACGGTAGCTCTAGTCGCCTGACAGGTTCTAACCAGGATTCCGCTTAAGAAGCCGGCTTCGAAGGTAGGGGCTAATTAAAACCCTCGCACAACCACAGCTTTTATGCGGAATCTCGTTTGGAATTTGATGGTGGTTGTGACATGGCTTGAATCGCGCGATATTTGCTTGGCAGAATGGGGGACGGGGGCAACAGAAGGTTGAGCAACAGTGCGAACTCTGTGTGTTCTAACGAAAGTACCCGTTGTCGTGCATTACGCAAAGTTGACCAGCTCGTCATCAATCATATCCGGATCACGGTCTGTACGAGTTGGTGATACAGTCGAACCTCGCTTAAGTTAACGAAAATTAAGTTAACTCCCCCAGTAAAGTTAACAATTTTTTTCGGAAACATGGTGCCCCGCAGAAAGTATTGCATACAGGGGGGGTAAAAATACAGTCCACGGACCCCCTCAAAACCAGCAGCAGCAGCAGTGCTCTCACTGCTCTGTAGACCGCCAATAAGAGGTCTGCTGCTGCACCTGCTGTCTGTGGGTATGGAGAGATTCCTTCCATCCAGCGGTGCATCGTCTGCGCCTGGCAAAAAACGATGCGAGGAGCCTACATGCACGGTACCGGACTCCACGGACGATGAAGATGGTGGGGGTAGACCAGAGTCGTGCGTAACATCTTCGATGACAGAGGCCGAAGTTCGCGGTAGCCTAGAGAAGGTTTGCTCCTACTTGTACGCGAACGGAAAGGATGGGGAGTACCGCGAGACCCAGTACCTGCTCTCGAAAGTTGTGCATTCGTTCACTCACGAAACTCAAGTGAAGCGGCGAGCCAAGGAGGGGGGGGAGCTGCAGGCAACTCTGCGCGACATGTGGAGGTCGTAGAGTGTGCGGTACAAACGACCAGAGCTGTGTTTGGGGTGGCCTATGTATGTCTTGAATGCGTGGGACCGCATGAGACTACTACACAGGAGTGGCTGTACATTGCGATCGACGAGAAATGTGTGCGTGGGTTCAAGCGTTCCAACATAGCATCTTGGTTATAGTGTTGTTTAGTAAAATGGACATAAAAATATGCTCCCTCTCACTTTTTTCAGTCTCCTCTCTCGTCAAACACGTAGTGGAGCCCAATGCGCGTCTATTGAGGTATTCACCGCCTCTATTGGCCCCGGGGATGGTGAGTTGTGGTCCCCTGAATTTTAAGTTAACTTCCTCGCCTTAAGTTAACTTTTTTTCGGGAAAAACCATGTGTTAACTTAAGCGAGGTTCGACTGTACATACACATGGTCGAGAATTCATGAAACGCCCCCTACCTTCCCCTCCAACCTTTCCGCCTCTTCAGAACAATGCCTAAAATGGTCGAACACCCATGGAAACTAGGTATTTTCTACCCCGACCCGACCCTCTATATTTGTCCAAGAGGACTCATTCACTGTCTTGTCAGTGGGCGGAGACAAGCCACCTACCCGAAGTCCCTTCACGAAAAATCGTGTTCACGTTTTCCTTTGTGCAGAGGTGCTGGTAGCGCTGTTGCGCGACGCCGAGTACTTCGACCCGTTCTTTGCCAACGCCTGCATCGCCTGCGCGCAGCAGCTATTGGAGGCTCAGGTGAGGAGGGGAATGAGTTAGCTGTTGCGCTTGACTGACTGCCTTTGCACGCCAGTGGTGTCTCGTTTGCTCTTGTTGTTATTGTTGATGTTGTCCTTTTCGAGTTGTGGGTCTATGTTACCTTTGGACTGAGCGTACCTCGCCGGGCATTTGTTTGTTTTAAGACGCTAGACGGCAGTGTCTTGCACCCTGAAACAAGCGGACAGCGGCATTCTCACTCTCGACTTAGCAAGGACCTTGCCCGGCTGCAGTAGTATTAGACGCTGCCTGTCTTTCGTTGACCGCCTATAACAAAGGGAGTAAGTAGGTCGATTCAACAGTGCACTAGGCACTCGACGTGACCTTCTCTCATGCACTGCCGTTCACCCCCTTGTGACGTACGTTAGTCATACGGCGGGTTGCCGAGGATAAGTCAACCCCCGAGCTGGCTTTCCACCACAACGTATGTGTGCGGATTTGTAGTACCACACGATGCGTCTTCGCAACGCTTGACGAGGAAGGACTTTCCAAGTGCCGGCCTTTTCGACGCGCACACCTTTCCTGCTGCAAACACATCGGCCAGAACCAAGGGAGGTTGTTATTCTGCATCATGTGACTTGCAGCGTTTCTCACTCATCCCGAACGGTACGGTACCCCGCACACCCTGATCTAAAACCTAATGAACCCCGACAATGACGTGGAACATGTATACGGTGTGGTGGTTGTATCCGCGTGCGTGGCAGGGAGAAGCGTTTGCGGCGGAAATGGTGAACGCTGGGGCGGCGCAAGCGTTGTTACCGCTGCTGGACCCTAAGTTCGAGCTCATCCGTATAGAAGGCTTGGTGAGGCAAGGCAGAGAGAGAGAGAGAGAGAGAGAGAGAGATGCGTTGTGCTATGTACGGTGGGAGAGGTGAAGGCAAGGACGCGAGCGTAAGTCGTCTGGGACGGCACGCAAACACACACGCCTCTTGAGGCGGAAGAGTGCCACAGGGGTCCCGTACAAGTAGTGTGATCGCATCAACCCGGTCATAACTACTATTATTGTCAACGCGGTGGCAGGGAAGGGGGATCATTCTTTGCCAGGTTGAACTCTCAAATCGTGTCGGAGGTATCATCGTTCCCTCATCGATGTGATGATTGGTGTGACTGGTCGATGATCGGTCAGCTTCTCCTACATCAGTGTGTATGCCTGCGTGCGTGCGTGCTGGCGGCAGGCGTGCTTGGAAGCGCTGCTAGTGGCAGAGCGCGCGAAAGTGTGCTCCCAGATCGTGGGCGTTCCAACGGGTATGCAGGCGTTGGTTGATCTCCTTGACGATCGGTGAGTGCCGGTGTGCTTTCGCGTACGATCGAACATAGGTTCCCAGGAGGGAGGGGGGGGAGTACTCGTCAGTACCTTGACCTTGTCGCTAGACTGGTGTTGTGTGTGTTAAAATGGTGTTGTGTGTGTTAAAATGGTGTTGTGTGTGTTAAAATGGTGTCGTGTGTCTTAAAATGGTGTTGTGTGTGTTAAAATGGTGTTGTGTGTGTTAAAATGGTGTTGTGTGTGTTAAAATGGTGTCGTGTGTCTTGTGCGGGGGTTTCAGCGAAGGCAGAGAGTCGTCTCCTGTTCCTAGTACAGCAGTTGCTTGGGGGCGACATGCGACATGACATGCGAACATTAATTTTGCCTTCCGGCTTCGGCTGTTTGTTATTCAACTTGTTTCAGCTGTCCTTGTCGGCATTTCCTCTGTTGAGTAGGGCGGGTTCGGGACCGTGGTTTTCCAGTACCTCCCAGTGGACAAAGAAATACCTCAATAGTAGACAAGGAAGTACCTCATAGTAGACAAAGAAGCCGGTCGTGTGCTGGGCGTGGCGCATGCTTGCAGTTGCGTTTTTTTTGCAAGGTCGCGACCGGCGGGGTTTCTGGTTCGGGCCGCGAGTTTTTTTCGATGGTTTTAGGATGTACGTGTGGACTGTCATCACAAAACCATCTATTTGCCCCATCATTTGTCAACCGTTGTTTGGACAACGCCTGAAGGTGGAATTCTTTGACCTCACCTCCGGTGCATATGCGTACAACAGGAATAGAGAAAAGAGAGAGGGAGAGGGAGAGAAGAGAGCTAAGAGGAAGAGAGATAGAAAGAGATAAGAGAGCGCTTGCTTTATGGCTGATAGCGTGGAACTAACTGCCCACGTTTACCTTACTTGCACATGCTGCACGTTCGTCTTGTGTCGTAGGTGGGACGAGGTCCGTCATCAGACGGTGTCGCTGCTGGCGGCGTTTTTGACCGAGCAGGGGGGCGTCCCCCCCCCCGTCAACCTGCAAAACTTCGTGGCGTTTGAAGATGGCTTCGACAAGCTCTTCAAAGCAGCCGATGCCGGCGAGGTAAGAAGGCCGCGGTTGTTTCTACGCGTTGCTCCCCCCATCAGAAACGGGAACAATCTGTCGGGAAGGCCGGTGTCTACGTGTTCGTCTCGAGGAGGGCCGGGCAGGGTTGCTGTGGTATCACGCCGTGGCGGCGGCTACGTGCCCATCGTGTTGTCGCGTGCATGGGTCGTTCTTTGCTCGCTTGCAGCCGTCTTACCCCATGTCGTCCATGTTGGATATGGCCTGCCGTTACTGGCGTGCCCTGTCTCATACCCTTCGTGCATGACGTGTCCTCTGTAGTGCTCCTGCTTCCTGCAGTGGCGCTGTCCAATGCCGTTGCCACCACAACGTCCCACTCGTGTTTCGCAGACGACATGATCGACAAACACGACACCATCTTGCGGAATTGATCGTCATGGTCGATGAAGTTTCGTTCGTCCTGATCTCTCTCCGCCAATCCCTCCGAGCTAATAACCTTCCGCCGTCTCTTGCGAAGAAATCCCCTAGTCTCAAGGTGGAGTATCTTGACCATACGAGCGGTCACATCACATCTGCAGGTACCCCCCTCAAACAGGTCTTAAACCGGTTCCTTTCCTCAACTGCCCGCTCACCGCTCCGCCTACCAGATATCCGGAGACTTCTCCCTGAAAGCCCTGGCAGCTGTCAGCGGCGCCCTGACCGACAACCCGCTATCCCGGAAGCTTTTCTTGGCTGGGGGGCACCTCCCCCGTCTCCCGGCGCTCCTGTCCATCCTCAGACCAGGGGACGTCGCGGAACATCCCCTGGTTCCACCGCCTCAGCAGCAGCAGGCCGCCATGAGCAGTCGCCGCCGATGGGGCTGGGGTAGAGACAAGGCCCAGGAACCGTCAGTGGCTAGGGGCGAGGGGAACGGTAGCGAGGGAGGTAACGGTAAAGGGCCGCCGTCCAGCGGGGGGGGGCGGGCTGCTGTTGCTGTTGCGCCCCGCCCTTCATTATCGTTTTCGCAGCAGCAGCAGCAGCAGCAGCAGCAGCAGCAGCAAGCAGGCGGCGATGTGGAGGAAGGCGGCTGGTCAGGCCAGGTCCCGATCCCTCGTATCCGCGCGGCGCTGTCCCTGGTGTCGGCACTCGTAGGCTGTGGTCGACAGGTAGGCGTGACTGTCTCTGAGGAGGCACCGATGGTCGCCGCCGCCGGTGATAAGCAGGGCTTGTCGGCGGGGTTAGGCGCTACTGCGAGCACGGCGGCGGTGGCTGGGAACGAGGTTCTGTCGGCGGTGGGGAGGGAGGAAGGGCTGCTGGAAGCGGTGTGTGAGCTGGCGCTGGCGTCCCCGCTTGCCCCCGCGGGAGGCGGGCCGACGTGGTCGGAGTACGGGTTGCCCGCGGACTGCCAGAGGTCCGCCATGGAAGTCCTGGCCGTGCTCGTCGCGAGACACCCGGCGAATCAGGTATGTTTGTACGAACGGGCAACCTCCCTCTTGGCGAAGAGGCCTTTTCTAGTTTTCGCTGCTCGGTTCTTGCGCTTCCCCACCCCCGCCAAAACCCGTCGTGCCTGTACTCGCCGTGAAGCCTACATATGTAAGCCTCTTATCCACTTTTCGAGTGGGGTCTTGTCCTCAAGAACGTGTGGGATCAAAACAACACCAGCGGCATCACCCTCCCACAAAAGGGTTGGTGTGTCAATTTCGTCATGAACAGGAGGGGGGTAAATGACGGGATTATCTTTTTATCGTCTCCATTACAAGGATACCCTGATCCGTAAAGCGATTCAAGGGAGCGCACTCCATTCCCATTTTCAGGCATGCCCCCCTTCTCGCCGTTTTTTTTTGTTCCCTCTCGTTCCCTCTCGTTCCCTCTCGTTCCCTCTCGTTCCTATTGTGGCGTTGGCGGTGGCGGTGGCGAAAGCAGTCGTGCCTCTCTCGGTGTCAAGTCCGAGGCGCTCCCATGTCCGTGACGCTGCACGGCCAGAAGCAGCTCGTCAGCTCCGAGCCCCGCAACGTCGTGGACGCTCTTCTGGAGCTGTGGCTAGCGGCCTCATCGGCGATGGAAGACGGGGCGACGGCAGCAGCAGGAGCAGCAGCAGCAGCAGCAGCAGAGGCAGCAGAGACAGCTGCCGACAATGAAATAAACGCCACCGCTGAGGTATGATCGGCATACGTACGCATATCGATTTTTGTTGCTGTTGGGGGCGGTGTCGAGAGGGCCTGCACGTGATGACAACGCACCGCCTGCGCATGCAACGGATCACGGCTGTGGAATGTCAAGCAGTCGAGTTCAGAGCCGTTACGATAGCAAACCTTACACCAAGTTCGACCGTTTCCCGCTTGTCCCTCCTGCCCGAAATGCGTACAGGTGGCACTGCTCGATAGGACCCTCGATGCGTTCCTATACGGCAACACCGAGTGGTGCAAATCGGTTCTCGCCGGAGTCGCCGCGAAGCACGCCTCCGCCGCAAGAATAGGGGACGCTAGCCAAAGCGTCCCCCCCCCCGCGTCTACCGGGAACCCGTCCTCCGCCTCCCGCGGCAACGATCACGTCCCCGTTGCAAACGGAACTAGCAAGGAGCAGGACGTCGGAGGCGTTGCCGTCATGTCCACCGTCGCCAAGATAGGCCTCCTGTGCGTCCGCGCCTCCTCAGCCGGCGCTCCCCGGTCATCAACGCGCGGCGAGACGGAGGCTGACGGTGGCGGCGGAGAGGACGACCCCCTGGCGGCGGCGCTACGCCTCCGTCTGCTCCGGCGCGTGCTGCAGGCGGGCGGCGCCGACGCTCGCGCGATAGCCGCCAGCGTCGGCTTACCAACCGGGGCTGCTGCCGTGCGACGGGGTGGTGAGCGCGCGCGGGAGTCGAGGGCGGGGGAAGGCAACGGCCGGGAAGAGCCGAGCGGAGTCGAGGGTCCGATCGAGGAAGAGCAGTGGGGAGA